CCTCTCAAAGAGAGAGAAACTGGGTGCAGAAACTCATTGACAGACAAGCTGTTTCACAGGATTGGGCACTTTCAAAACTCTGCACACAGCACAGGTCAACTGAAAAAAAGGGGCTTTTTTAGTTCTCAATAACAACCACAAAAGTTGAAAAAAAAACCAAACCCCAACAACCATGGAAGCTGGGTCAGCCGCTGGGTCACTCCCTGTTCCCTAGGCTGTACCTCTACTTGGTGAATGGGGGGCGTTCCGGCAGTCAGAGCCCTGGCCTGTCCACATTCCAGGGTTGCTCCAGTTCTAAGCTACAGAACTGAGCTGCATGGGAATGGAATGGTGGAAAGGAGCTGCCCTCCAAATGGGAGGGAGAGAAAGCCTGGCTCTCCCATCTCACTTTGAGGCTGCAATGAGACTTCATAGCATATTTTGCCATAACTTGTTCTGGGGGTGCCTCCGATTCTTTGCAAGGTCTGTGGTGGAAACAGTGCTGGATTCAGAGTGAGAAGATCAAATTCAAATTGAGGCTCTGCTACATACTTCTGTGTGACCTTGAGCAAGTCACTTAAATCACCTGTATCTTTGTTTCCTTGTCAGTAAAATTAGGGGATTGTACTAGATAATCTTTAAGGTCCCTTCCAGTTCTAAATCTTATGATTTTATGAAGAGAATAAGAATAGCACGTCGATACAGCACTTTATAATTATCAATTACTTTCCTGCCAAAATCTCATTTGATTCTTATAATCATCTGGTGGAGTCATGAAATACACATTGTGACACTTCCATTTTACAGATTAGGAAAATTAGACTCGGGGACATGCTATGACTTGTTGATGGTCACATGGATAATAAGTAACAAGATGTATTTGAACTTGGGTCTTCATATATTCAGACTTCTTTATTTCTGGCTTATTTTCTTGTTTTCTCTTCTGCTGACCTCTGCCCAACTCCATGATGCCCTTTCTTCTTCATTTATTCCTTTCCTTCACTTCCCTCTCCTTTTCTCCCTGTCCCTTCCTTTATCTTCCTATATTACCTTCCTTAATAATCTCTCATTTTCTTCCATGGTCCTATTTAACTGTCACCTTTCAAGTCTTTATCACCAGTCTTAACACGTCTCTAACACTCTAGATTTGCATCTCCGAGTTCCTACTAAACATCCCCACCAAAATATTCCACTGCAACCTCATAGTCAACACAGATGATGGTCAGAATCAAAAAAAAAAATGTTAACAGATTAGAACAACGAACAAGATGAAATTTAATACATGGAAATGTACACTTGAACCAGGTAAAATTGGTTGCACAAGCACAGAACTGGGGGCATGGTATGGCTAAAAAACAATTTACATGAAAAGATAAATGAATGAAAAAAAGCACTTACTGTGCCAAGCTCTGGAGGTACAAATACAAATCAAAGACAAATGTTGCCCTCAATGAACTTACAGTCTAAAGGGAGAGACAAGTCAATTACTGTACGCACACACACACACACACACACACACACACACACACACACACACACACTTCTGGCTGTCAAGGAATTCACTGTCCCATGGAGGAGACAACAATGAACAAACAAGATACACATAAGATACACACAAGATGCACAGGTAAATTGGAGCTAACCAGAGAGGAAGGCACTAGCCTTAAGAAGGATTAGGAAAGGCTGTTGCAGAAGGTAGGATTTTAACTATCACAAGACAGAAACCAATAGGCAGAGATGAAAGAATTCCATCATGGTGGACAGTCAATGAAAACGCATGGAATTGGTGTACCATATGTATCATGTGTGTGGAGTGTCAAGAAGGGCAGTGTTACTGGATTACAGAATACATGGAATACAGTAAGGTGTAAGAAGACCAAAAAAAATAGGAATAGGCCAGGTTATGAAGGCCTTTAAAAGACAGACACATGCAAAATGAATGAATGAATGAATGAATGAATGAATGAATAAGTGAAAAAAGCAAATATATGCCAATCACTGTATAAATACAACAGGACCTCTGACCTCAAGAAGCTTACGTTCTAATAGGAGAAGACCAGACATGAAGAGAAATGTGGCCAAGGAGTAGAATTTTGGTCTGGGAAACCACAGGGATGATGAGTTGATTTATAGAGCAGCTAATGGACATGTCATATTGATTGCATTTCTGCTCCCATAGCAAGAGTTAGAAAGTATGGTGGGGGAGAGGAAAGGAAGGCAAAATGGAATGCATTCAGTGGTGTGACAGAAAAGGACCAAAGCATGCAGACATGAGTTTGGGGCCAGCTAGATAATGCAAATGCTTATCGGTCAGTAGCAAAGAGCCCAGGACAGGCACTGGTGAACTGAGTAGAAGTTGGGAGCTGAGCACACTAGCTTGGCAGAAAGTTGATCCCCTGGTCTATTGACTCTGGATCAGGCTAGATATGGTGGATATGGTGAACTCCCACCACCAACAGCATCCTTGTTCCCCTTCTCTTTATCTCCTTCCCAGGTCCTGGCCATCTAGGACCTATTTGGCCTGCTTGACTGTTCACAGAGCTTGGATGTCACCAAGCCTGTTCTGGTGAAATGGAGGACTACTAGACCTGGAGAGGCTGGCAGGGTATTGATTTTCACTATACTATCCTAATTCGGGCTCAAATTCTAAATCAGCTACTTCTAGGTGACATTAGGCAAGTCACTCAACATTTTTGGGGCTCAGTTTCCTCATCTGTAAAACAAGGGAGGTTGACTAGATGATTTGTAAGATCTTTGATAATGCTAATATCTTGAAATCCTATAAGTTTCTTTCTACCCACATCCACTTAGAATTTGTTTTTAGAGAACAGAAGAAGAAAATTCATAATTCTGGAAGTGGAAAAAAAAAGCACAGAAGAAATGCAGTGGATAGAGGACTGGACTTGGAGTAAGGAAGACCTAAATTCAAATCCCACTTCATATACTTACTAGCTGTATGACCATGGGCAAGTCACTTAATCTCTTTGTGACTCAATTTCCCTCATCTGTAAAGTGAAGGGGTTGGAGTTTATTGTCTCTAATGCCCTTTCTTGTTCCAAATCTATGCTCCCATCATCCTTTGACCAAACCCTTTGATATATACATGGTCAGCTTTATCAACTTTTGGTACATCAAGTGATTTCTGTCAATCAAAGAATCTAGATATTTATTGAGTGACCACTCTGTGCTCTCCCTTTGCTGGAAAATATTGGGTATAATTAAAAACTAAGAAAAGATTTTCTAAGAAGATAACCATTAGAATGCTCCCTATGTGGAGAGGCATCCCATGGGCTCATTTTTCATTATCAGAACAATGCCGTTAATATCTAACATCCCTTCCAGCTTTAGTATTCTTTTATTTTCAGAGGTTTTTCATTTATCCTCTCATTCAGCAAACATTTATTAAAAACTACAGATAACAGAAAGTACAACCTGCAGCTACCATCAAGGTGCTTATAGTCTCTAAACCTCTTTCCCATCCCCCTAAGCAGAGGTTGGCTGGGTGATGAACATTCATTAGGGATGTTGGAGAAGGGATTCCTGGAGTCGGTGGGAGGCTGAAATAGATGGTCTCTAAGGTCCTTTCCAATTCTTAAGATTCTCCAAGTCTCTGGTTCTCACCCCTGGCACCAAATCCTGGATAAGGCAGCCAACTTTTCTGTTGTTGTTCAATTTGAGAGCATCTTGTGGTCCCAAAGTCTTGCCAAGCAAATCTATTGAAATGGCCAATAAAAAAAAAAGCCAGACCCAGTATCACACGTGGAAGCTGACTGTCACTAGCAGAAAGCAACTGAAAGCAGAAAACGGTGAGCGAGGGGACAGCATTTGCCTTTCTCTCTAGGGTTTAATATTCAGAGTTATGTTTTCCTTCTCCTTTTCTTAAAACACACACACACACACACACACACACACACACACACACACACAGAGAGAGCGAGAGAGAGAGCATGCAACATAACTTTTGTAAGCTAAGCTTTCACTTACGGAGAAAACACAACTTATATGGCCAGGAAGAAAATGGCTGAATTAAGCTTTCTTTCCATCCTCTCTAGTGGGAGAGATTCTCAAAAGATTAAAAGTGGGTTAGGGGAAGAATAAAACAGCCGTGTTTCCAGTATCTACCTGACAACAGCTTTTGTAGGAGTGAATAATTACATGGGAATCACTTCCTCTCCACCTCTCTTTCAGAATTCTCCAGGTTGCTAGGCACTCACTCTCCTACCTTCTGCTAATGCCACATACAGACGCCGATGAATACAGCATATCCTTTATGAGGAAAGGGGAGATGGGGAGAAGGATTCAAATACCAATTTTTGGCTTATTCATGTTGGCCTTCAAAGGGAGAAAGCTTAGCTGCTTTGAACATATTTAAATGCTAATGCTCTCAGCAAAATCAGTAGGAATGGCTTGGTGGTTAAGGGGTCGGAGGTCACCCTGGTATGGAAAAAGTCATACTATAAATATGTTCTGCTGATGTGTCCAGACAGCGCCTTTGGGGAGCCACCCCGGCTCTTGAGTTGATTCTGGGCTCCCACCTAGGGCAAGGCCAAAGTAATAGTCTGGAGTCTGGCTTGGGATCAAGGCTAGTGCCAGTGAAGTGGCATTAGATTGAAATTCTGGACTTGGGTATATGAAGGAACTGTTCAGTTCAGTTCTAGGGGAAGGCAATGTGTGTAAACTGACCTTGTCTCCTCTCTTATGTGAAGAACTGGTCATAGCCAGTTCTTGTAGTTACCTTTGCTCTTGAAGGGGAAACATGAAAAAGTTGAGTAAAGGAGTAATGGGGTTGGGGAGGTTAGCAGGAGGCAAGGCCTGGTGTTGGAGGGGAGTGGGATAGATCAAGAGCAAAGATCATGGGCCCTCACTGCCTAGGTTATTTGACAGGCCAGCAATGATTACAATAAAATCCTGTCTTGATAACATTTTTATGCTTTTGGAAGAGCCTTCAACTCAGGAGGAGTCTGGATTTGTGGTCAGAGGCCTTAGGTTCAAATCCTGGCTTATGACTTACCTTAGACAAGTCAATTTACACTCCCTGGGCCTTAGTTCCTTCATCTGTAAAACAAAGGGGTTGAACCGTATGGCCACAAGTACCTCCACTTTTAAATCCATGATCTTGTACGTAGTTCTATATGAACATGTTGTCTTCCCAATTAGAATGTAAACTCCTTGAGGGCAGGGGCTGTTTTTTATTTTGTTTTTGCTTTTTCCTTTGTATCCTCAGTGCTTAGGATAGTGCTTGGCTCATAGAATTACTTAATAAATTAATGCCTTGGTTAATTCATTAACAATTTTATGATCTCACTTAATGCTCACAACAGCCCACAGAGGGAAGCTGACCAGGCATTGAAAATGCCTGGCAATGCCTGAAAATGACCAGGCAATGAAAAATGTGTTACAGGCATTAAGTGGAAAGAATATTGGCTATAGAGTTTGATAAGCCTGAGCTTCAGCCCAAGCCCTGCTACATATAAGGGGTGTCCCCAAAGTCTTAGTACAGCGTAAGCTATTAAAGTTTAATGTGTGTGTTTATACATATATACATGTGGGCATGCACACGCACACATATATACATATTATACATGCATGTGTATCTATATCTGTCTATATACTTAGAGGCCATCTGTTCTAAACCCTCATCTTACAGATGAACAAACTGAAGTGTGAGAGAGAAAATGATTTGCCCACTCTGAACTTATTTTCTCAACTGTCAAATGGAGGTGATACTATCAACACTGCCAACCTTACTGGGTTGTTGGGAGGAACAAATGAAGAAATGTTTGCAAAATGTTTTATAATTAGAAATACTGTTGTTGTGGTAAGGGGAGGGAGTGTTTCAGTCATGTCCGACTCATAATGATCCTATTAGGTTTTGTTTTTGTTTTTGTTTTTGTTTTGTTTTGTTTGGGCAATGATACTGGAGTGGCTTGAGATATTATTGTGCCCATTTTCCCTGAGGAAGAAACAGAATCAGAGAAATTTCAAGCAGGAAGAGATCTCAGATCTAGTCCAAGCTCATCATTTTACAGAATAAGAGAATAACAGTGAGGCTGAATGCCTTGCTTGGAGTCCCAGAGGTAGTAAGGGACAGAGGGCCTCCAACATCTGGTACAATGTGCTCTCTTCTGATGCACATCAGGCTTCCTTAAAGTGACAAATATTGGCCACAGGCCTGAATTCCTTTTGAGGTTCCCTTTGCTGACCCCATTTGCAAATGCTAGCATGGAATGATCTGAGGCTGACTAGAGCTAGAGTCAAGCTGGATCCTCCTTCCATCCTGGGGCAGGCACCAGCAGGCAAGGTGATGCCAATCTTGAGGTCCAACAAGCAATATTGGGATCCTGGCTCTGTTTTTTTAATCCATCACTGAACCATCAGGCCCTTCCAAATCTGTCACAGAGGCTTTAGGATCAGGAAAAGTATTTTTTTGTTTGTTTGTTTGTTTTTGTTTTTCATTCTCCCTGAGAAGTAGTATGGGGTAGTCGAAAATTCACTGGATTTTCGGTAATTAGAAAATAGCATCATAAGAATTAGAGATGGAAGAGGCCTTGGGGATCACGCAGTGACCACCCCCTTCACTGTACAGAGGAAGAAACTGAAGCCCCTAGAGGAGAAATTATTTGCACCTGGTCACACAGGTAGTAAGTGACAGGGACTGTATTTGAACCCAAGTACTCTGGCATTGGGGCAGCTAGGGGACAACATAAGGCATAGAGCACTGGGCCTGGAGTCAAGAAGATCTGAGTTCAAATCCAGTCTCAGACACTTACTAGCAGGGTGCCCTTGGACAAGTCACTTAACCCTGTTTGCCTCAGTTTTCTCATCTGTAAAATGAGCTGGAGAAGGAAATGGAAAACCACTTCAGTGTCTTTGCTAAGAAAACCCCAAAAGGGGTCTTGAAGAGTTAGACACAACTGAACACAACTGGACTACAAACGGCAAACCTAATAGCACATGGCACTTCCCACTTCCGTAGTTTATCAACATTGTCCATCGTGTTTGGCCTGTATTTTGTTGCTTATTGGTGTTGACTGTATTTATATTTCCATAGCGTTTGTATTATCCTTTTGGTTCCACTTTCTTCACTATCCATCACATCACACATAATTCAAGTCTTCGTGAATTCTTCGTATTACTTGTTTCTTACGGGACAATAATATTCCATGCCATCTGTATGCCATAATTTGTTCAGCGATTCCCCAATTTTTGCCTCTAAGTATTTGGGAGATCCTGGGCAAATCACTTAAACTCTTTGGGCCTCAATTTCCTCAATGATAAAATAAGAGGGTTGAACCAGAAGATTTCCAAAGTATTTTTTAACTCTTAAAAAACCCAAAACTTTGATCCCTAAATGTGTTGTCTTACATTTAATCTCACACCGGTTCATCCTTATCCAACTCCTTGGGAGCTTACTGGCTTTTGTCTCAGACACTTGGCTCTTCATTACCCATTCAGAGGTTTTAGATCAAGAAGGAACCTTGGAGATCATCTAGTCTCTTCCATTTTACAAATGGGGAAACTGATGTTTAGAGATGTTAATGAGGTAAGAGTCAGCCCAGGATTCGACCCAGGCATTCAGATTTCCCATCTAGTCTTCTTCCCATTCTATCACTCTGCAAACAAGACTTTGCTGCCTTTGTTGTGAGGCAGTCAGTTAATGTTTTGAGCTTTTCTGGTCCCTACATTCCACCCTCCGTTGTGCACAGTATTGCCAAAAAATTAAGCCTAAGAAAGAAGCCACTGACAATCCAAATTAATGAGAGGTGATTTGGATGTCAGGGATTCAGCTTTATGGGATGTTCAGAGTTGTCTTATCTGCTCAGAGGGAGAGGATGGAGGTCTCTGTGTCTCTTCTACATCTATATTTAATCTAATTCAATCCAATCCACATTTGTGCTTGGCACTGGGGATAAAAAGGCAGACATTAAATAAGCTTTCCTCTCCGAGCTCTGCTTCTGATTTTTGCCACCATACCTTTCCATCCCCCTCTTCATTTCTCATTTTTTATTTACTTTTAGAAGTAATCATGGTTAATTGACTTGCTCAGGGTTGCACAGCTAGTAAGTTTCTGAGGCAGGATTTGAACTGAAGTCCTCCTGACTCCAGGGCCCATGCTGTATTCACTGTGCCACCTAGCTGCAGCTCCCTTTTATGTGTTATCTTCTCCAAACAGAGTGTAAACTCCTGGAAAGCAGGAAATTCCTTTTAGTTGTATTTGTATTATCAGCATTTAGCACAGAGCCTGGCACATAGCAAGTGCCTGATAAATACTCATTGACTGTTGACATTGGTGGGGGTGGGGGAGGATGTCAACATAGGTAAGCAAATTCAAAGTAATACCAAGCAACTTCAATAGGAAAATGGTGCCAATAAAAGGAGGAGGAAGGTGTCAGAAAAAAAGCCTCCTATATATGATGGCCCCTGAACTGTGCTCCAAAGGAAGCTAAAGGATTCTCTGAGGCACAGGTAAGAAAGGGGTACATTCCAAACATAGGGGACCACCATTACAAAGGCACTAAGGGGATGGAGGGTGGATATATCTGTGAACCAAATTCATCCTCCTCAATCATCATGCTAATTACCTGCTTTCATAATTACGATGGAAGTAAACACTTTCCTTGACACCTCAGAAACCCGTCCTTACCACTAAACCCAAATCCTGAAGCTGGGGACCATCATTTCTTGGCTTCTCTCTTAAGAAGCTGGGAATATTTCTTTTCAGTCGCTGCCTCCGGGTTAAGAATCATCGACAAATAACAAAGACCACAGCTTACGTTTGCCCAGCTTTCTGTGGTTTGCAAAGTGTTTCCTCACCACTGCTGTGGGAGGACAGCAGCATAAGAATTGCCCCCATTTTCTAGATGAGGAAATGGAGGCATAGGCATGTGAGGTGACTTATTGAGGATCGCCCAGGTAAAAAGCATCAGAGCTGGCACTTAAATCCAGGTCTCAGTGCTCTGTCTGCTATGCCCCTCTACAGCAGAACATGACAGACACACCAATGATATTTACTGACATTGACATAACAGAGGTAAAGATTTTGCAAACCTGAAGGTGTGAATTTCACAGTTACTGATTGTCCACTAGCATTTCTTCAGTTGGAACATCATATTACTAAAAGAAACAAATAATTTGGTGCATAAAGAAAAATAACAATAATAATGGCTAACATTCATATAGCTCTTTATGATTTTTCAAAGTGCCTTACCTCTATTACCTTTGTTTGATTTGATCAAACAGTAGTAAACTATGTAGTTATGTAGCTATTAATATATAATATGACATGTGTATAATATAATACATAATCTAACATATTACATATTTTTTTTTAAATTTCAAAACCTTAACTATGGGTTTAAGTACATCCAAATGGTAGGATCCTATTTTAATAAAAGACTAGAGAGCAGTAGAAAGAACACTGGATGTCGACTTAGAGGAAGAGGTCCCAAGTTCAAATCCTAACTGCTACTAGTCACTTCTATGACCTTGGGGAAATCATTTAACTTCTCTGGGCTTCAGTTTCTACTTCTGCAAAATAAGAGAGTTGGTCTAAATCAGCAATGTCAAACTCAAATAGAAATGGTGGTCATTAAACCATAATAAAGTACATATTGACTGAGAAAACAGAAGCACATATTGACTTAGAAAACCACATATTAATATTATCTATGTTCTATTGTGGGTAGCTAGGTGGTGCAGTGGATAGAGCAATGGGCTTGGATGGAATCAGGCAGACCTGAGTTCAAATCTGGCCTTAGACACTTACTAGCTGTGTGACCCTGGGCAAGTCACTTAACCTTCTTTACCACAGTTTCCCCATCTGTAAAATGAGCTGGAGAAGAAATGGTAAACCACTCCATAAAGAGTCAAACATGACTGAAATTACTGAACAGCATTTCTACTGTATTTTTATTTATTTTGTTAAATATTTTCCAATTATATTTTAATCTGGCTCCTGAAGCATTCTGGAATGTTGCACAATGAGCCCTCCTGTTTAATATCTCTCCTCTGAAAGACCTCTGAAGTCCCTTCTAGCTCTAAGGTGATGATAAGATTATCTTTCTCAGAGAGGGATACCGAATGTCACAATCCAAGAAAGAATGATAATAGCAAAACTCAGAGGTCTCAACATCTCATTATCCTTCCAAAATTCATTGAGAAATAATTTCTAGTAAGCAGCCTGCAGCATCAGTAATTATAGCAACACTGCATTGTAAAGTATACTGAGGTCTCAGCAATCAGAGAGAATTCCTAGAATATTAGAGCTAGAAGGGACCAATCTCCCTACAGTGGAGAAAACAGAAGCCTGGTCAAGGTCACAAAGCACATTAGTAATTGAACAGAGTCTGAAACTCAGGTCTTCTGACCAGTAAATAAGTCTTCACACTGCGGATCTGTCCTGCAGGCAAAGGAGAAATGATGAAAACATCAGTGGATGGAGATGTCATCCTGACTCATATATTCCCTCCTACCTAAGGCCTTTCCTGATCTCCCTCAGTTGTTAGAGCCTTCTACTTCTCGAAATTATTTTTCATTATTTGGTATTTACCTATCTGTGTATGTGTTGTTGCTCCCAGGATAAAACATGAGTTCCTCAAGGTCAGGCACACTTTTATTTTTTACCTTCTGTCTCCAGCATATAGCAAAGTGACTGGATGACCCAAAGGTGGTAGTTAGGGGCAACATGGCATAATGGATACAGTTCTAGAATTAGACTCAGGGAGACCTGGGTTTGAATCTTAGGATTCTTAGGATAAAGCTGCATGACTCTCAGGAAGCTACTTAACTTCTCTGATCCTCAAGTTCTTCTGCTATAAAAAGTGGGGGTTTGGCCTCAATGACTTCTAAGGACCCTCTATGAGCCTATGAATAAATATTTATTTGAATTTGTTGTCATTCAGTCATTTTGGTTGTGTCCAACTCTATGACATTGTGGACCTCTGTCCATGAGGTTTTCCTGGCAAAGATACTGATGTGGTTTGCCATTTCTTTCTCCAGTGGCAAAGGTTAAGTGACTTGCCCTAGGTCACACAGGTAGTTTCTGAGGCTGGATTAGAACTCAGGTCTTCCTGACTCCAAGCCAGTGTGCCACCTAGCTGCCCTTATTGAATTTAAAGTTGTTGAAATTCTGGCTCTGACGCGATGGCCAAGTCATCTACATTTTCAAAGTCTCCGTTTTCTCAACTTTACAATAATGATAATGATGATGATGATACCATAGTCATCCAGGTTAACATCTTTGGTTTCTTACTAAAACTCAATCCATGGACCCAATTTGTTGTCCAATCTTGCCATTTCTTCCCTTTACAACATCTCTCATATATGTTGCCTTCACTCTACTCATACAGTCACTCCCCGGGGGAAGGCCATTATCATTTCATCCTGCATTATTAATTATACTAGTCCTCTGGCTGGTCTCCCTACCTTAAGTGTCTAGAGAGTCACAGATTCCAATCTATCCTGTATTTAATTGCCAAAGTGATTTTCCTAATACACAGGAATCATGCCAATCCCCCACTTTCATTCCATAAACTCCAGGGGCTCCCTATTACCTCCAGGATCAAATATACAAAAATCCCCTGTTTAGTATTTAAAGTTCTTCCCAACTTTCCTACCTTTCCAGTCTTCCTTAATTTTAAGACATACATACCCTCTGCTCCCACTACACTGGCCTAATTACTGTTCCTCACACACAGCACTTCATCTGTCAATTCTCTTACACTGGCTATCATCATCCTTGCTATGCTCTCCTTTTCTTATCTTTACCTCCTGGTATCTTTGGCTTCCTTTAAGACTTTGCCCAAAATCGCACCAGGAAACTTTTTCCCATTCCATGTATTATCTTTGCCTCTCTTCCGAGATTATTTTCAATATATCTTGACTATATTTTATACATAGTTATTTGTATGCTGTACCCTTTTTTTAGGGTGTAAGCTCCTTCAGGGCAGAGAGCATGTTTTTGCCTTCCTTTGCATCCCCAATACTTAACATGATGCTTAGCACATAGTAGATGTATAATACATATTTTTTTTTTAACCTGTTGACTGACAGTCATGGGATTGTTGTGAGGAAAATACTTTTCAAGCCTTAAAGTACAATATAAATGTGAATTATTATCATTCCCAGCACTGGGGAGCCCCCCACTTGCCAGAAGGTCAGAACCTTGTTGCAAGGTGAGAGTGGCCCTTTTGGCTGTGTCTGCTCCCAAAGCACTGGGGTGTCTCTACAGAATGTTCTATTTTTAATGTGTCTTCTCTGAACTCTTCTGGAATTAAAAGATCCAAGATAGTGAGCTATCCATGTCTTTCAAAGGTCTTAAATGACCATCATGTTCATGTTTAAGTTATCACACATTCTTTCAGTTCTTCTGACTAGCTTGTCTCATCTCTGTAGGGAAATGGAACATGAAGTAGCAGCATGCATAGGTATTAAATATACACAACCTGTCATTACCCCGTCCATCCCCTGCTCCTGAGTGCTGTCACACCCAAACATCATTAGCTTCAGAAGGTCCCCCTGGCTGCTATCTCTATCTCCTCCCACCCTTTGTAGCAAGCTTATTGGAAAGATCACTAGACCTGAAGTTAGAACAGATGGAGTCGAATCCTGGCTCCGCCTTTATCAGCTCTTGTGATCCTGTTTCCTAAGCTGTAAAATTATGCTCACAGGCAGTGTGTCCTAGTGGATAGAGAGCTGGCCTCCAAGCCAGGAAAACCTGGGTTCAAGTCTCACCTCTAACTCATACTGTCTAAGTAGCACTAGGTAAGTCAGTAGGCAGTGCCCTAAGCAGCTCTATAAGACTATCCATGGAGGGAAGGTCCCAACCTGATTTGGTAGAGGGAGTCTCTTTACCTGGGAAGTCCCTATACCAGGGAAATCACAGATCTGTGCCCAGACCTCATCCTAAAATTGTGCTAATTAAAATGCTTGCATTACCTTCTTGGAAGGAATTTGGGAAAATCTTTTATAAATTTCCTCATTGCAAAAAAAAAAAGACAGATAGAGGCTTGATGTCAAGTAGAATTTCCTGAGAATTATAGCTATGGAATCCCTCCACCCATACAGCTATCTTCTCTCCTTGGTGAGTTCCTTCCAGTGCCTCCATTTTGGGAAGGGGCTCAAGCCAGCCAGCCATCTTTCATTCACCTCCTGGTTATGGACTTTGTCTCAAGAGGTGGTGACTTCCTTCTCCCTGAAGACCTTTGAGGAAAGGCTGGATGACCACTTATCAAATACAAACTGAGACCTGGGAAACACTTTAGCTTACAAAGGCCAAGGTCTCCTACTACATCCAGGGCCATTACCAGTTGTCTTGACCTATGTCTTGCCACTGGACTCCAAATGACTGGAGGAAAGAGTGAGGCTGATGACTTTGCACAGCTCTGCCTCACTTAAATTGAATTCACTTGCAAGTCAAGACATCAAGCCCTGACATCATTGGTCTTCTTCAAGAACAAAGGATGAACAACAGCAGCAACTTTAAAGAAGAGAATTTCTTTTGGTTATGAGTTGGATTAGATGGGCTCTAACATCCTCTTAGCCTCTAAATTCCATGATTCTGTACCTCTATAAGAACTAGAGAAATATTGATTTCCGAGAGCTTTTAGGATGGTGAGTATTATCACAGCCTCTCCTCCTACAATCCCCGGCTTGGGTGACCTGGGAGCAAGAAAGCTCTGGGAAACACATGGCTGAGTCAATGAGAATGAGCTGGGGATCCAAGGGTTGTCTTGGCTGGCCAGACCTCAGTCTGTCCTGCTCAGCTCAGACTCCATTGGCTCTGACAACTGGCCTGGCGCCATTTGCTCTGTTTTGATTTCAAGTTTCCATCAGAAGCTTGCACTCTGTGTGTGGTTTCCTTTTATCTTTCACTAATGGAATCCTTCTCGTTCCCAAGTACCCTTCAATTAGAGTCAAGACCTTCAAAGCAGGGTTTCCATGCCAGTGTTTTTGGTGAGGCACCATCCACCTCTGGCTCTTTTTCTACTGGACTGTCTGCTTCTCAAATAGGAGCTACCACTAGATGAGACCATCTAGTACTACCCAGAGAGTTAGAAAATCATTGATTTAGAGCTGAGTCATCAGAGGACATCAAGCCCAATCCCTTCATTTTACAGGTGAGGAAACTGAGGCATAGGGAAGTAAAAGGACTTGGCCAAGGTCACGTAGCTTGTAAGTGACAGAGCCCAATAATACAGTTTCCCTTATTTCAAAATCACTGTTACTAAGAGGCAGCATGAATAACAAGAGCTCTGGCTTTGAAATTAGGAGCTCCTGGGTCTGACTCTGATACTTGAATTGCTGGGAGAAACTGGGCAAATCATATCACCCTCTCTGAGCCACGTTTTACTCATCTGTAAGATGTATCCACCACAGAGGAGCAGCTGGGTGACCCAGTAGAGAGAGTGTCAAGCCTGGAGTTAAGAAGACCTGCTTCAATATCCAGCTTCATGTACTTTCTAGCTGTGTGACCCTGGGCAAGCCATTTAATCTGTTTGCCTCAGTTTCTTCATCTGTAAGATGGGGATGATAATAATAGCACCTACTTCCCTGGGCTGTTGTGAGCTCAAAAGAGATAATAATTGTAAAGTGCTTAGCACAGTGCTTGACACATAGTAAATGCTACTAAATGCTAGCTGTTATTATTACTATAAGGATCTGATAAGATAATAAAGTGCTTTGCAACCTTAAAGCACCACTTAAATATTATTAGTAGTAATAATGATGATGATGATAATAAAACTGAATGTGAGATTTTTAGACCAAGGCTGTATCTCATCAAAGAATGCTAAAGATCGCAACCAAGGAAAGGCTTAAAAAAAAAAGACCATAAAAATAAGATGTTTCAAAATCTCTTCAGTCCAACAAAGGCAGAACTTTTGGGGGATTATACTTCCCTTGTATCCTACATACCACCTAATGCAGTATTTACACTGGGTAAATACTTCTAGATGGACTATTAGATTTATTTCCAATTAGATTTCTTTGGCAGTGCGCTCTCTCTCTCTCTCTCTCTCTCTCTCTCTCTCTCTCTCTCTCTCTCTCTCTCTCTCTCTCTCTCCCTCCATCCTCTGGCATATTCACTTACTGTTGGTACCATTCATCTGGCACTTAACCACGTATTACCTAGTGACCATTCATTCATTCATTAATGTATGCATTCATTCATGCATGCATCCATTCTTCCATTTTTTCATGCATTCATTTATTTATGTGTTCAAAAACACTTATTAAGTTCTTGTTACTTAATAACTGTTATTACAAGTAACTTGTATTACTTAATAACAACTGGTGTTGTATTAGGTGCTCAAGTTACAGAGATAAAAACAGCACAGCCCCTGCCTTCTAGAAATTCACCGTATCACTGAGGAAGGTATGACTAAAATACAAAAATGTATGAAACAAGGTTGATTGTAATGAGGCAAAGGAGAGACTTAGACAAAGTTCTTTTGGAAATTTTTCAGAGGAAAAGTCTGGTTTTTCTCACCTAGCTCTCCACCACGTTCTTTTTGTTCCAGTCAGACTGGCCTGCCTGATATTCCACATACATGACATTCTATCTCCTACCTCCATGACTTTGTTCAAGAGACTCCTATGTTCAGTTGGCATTCTTTCTACTTATTTGCATTGAAGAATACTCAATTTCCTTCAAAACATGGCTCAGGGGCCACATC